CAACCCCAACCCAATCCCCCTTCAGGAGCCTGCTCCTTCTCAGAGGCTGCGGCTGGGTCTCAGGTCACTTCCTCCACAGCTGGCCTGTCCTCATGCCTTTCCTGGGGGCCAGGCTGCATGTGTCCTTCTCCCACTGTCCTCTGTACTCATCCTCAGCTGCTCTGGGTGGGGGTGGGGAGTTGCCCTGGCATCCCCTGGGGTAGGGTGTGAGAGGGTCCCAGCTTGGAGCAGGGACACCTGGTGGCTGTGGCCCCAGCTGTTACTCGGGGTCGGCCTTGGGACGAATTGTCAGGTCTCTGGAGCCTCTTCTTCAGCTCTGGGGACAGTCTTGGGGGGACAGGGTGGAGTTCTAGCCCCAGGGCGCCCCCCACCCCCAACTGGGTGCTCAGCCCTCCCTCACTTGTCAGCAGGGGCTTTTGTGTGGCAAGGAGGCAGACGGAGTTTCAGCATCTCTAGCTGCTAGTCTAAGACAGAGTAGGAGGAAAGGCCCAGAGATCTACTGAAAATCAGCAATAGAGGCCTCAAATTCTGACTGTGACAGGCTTGGTGCTAACAATGGAATACTGGGCGTAGGGTGTCCTGAGAGGGGAGGGGATGGGGTGGGGGACCTCTGACTGTCTGGGGCTCAGTGTATAAGCCCACAGTGGCACCGGCTTAAAGCATGTGCAATCTGGGGTCCCCAAGGTGCCCGGGCTTCAGTGCTAGACCAGTAACCAAATATGTGGTCCCCAAGTCTACCATGAGGTGGTTCACGGACCAGCTTGGTCATCCACTTCTGGAAGGTGGCAGGGGCAGGCCTGCTGGCCAGAGAGGTGGCCAACAGCAGCGGCGGCAGCAGCCTGGGTCACTGGGCCCATCTGTCCCCATGGCTCTGTGTCTGCAGGACACCCCCCCTCCCCGCCCCGTTGCATGGCAGGGCACGCCCATGACTGCAGTTCAACCCTGCCCCCAGATGCTCCATGGGGTCACAGTCTTGGATCCCAATCAGCCCTGCCCTTGAGGGATGGCCTGTGGGGGTGGGGTGGGGTGGGGAACTTCAGGTTCCATGTTTGTCACCTGCTGTCTCAGAAAGCCACAGGGCCGAGTTATTTGTGCTTGCTTGGCCTCTCACAGCTGCGAGGCCAGGCTGAAGGGTAGGAGGAGGCTTGCTCAGCTCCCCAGCAGACAGGGCGGGGTCCACATCCTGTGATTCAGAAGATCCCAAGGAGGAGGGCAACTCTGTGGTGCATCCAGAGGCCTCTGTGGCCGGTCGGTCGGCCTCAGGGTGCGGGGAGGAGTGAGCCCGTGAGTGTAGTTTTCTATGACTCAGGTCCTGGGTCACTCTTGGGGCATTTGCCTCTGTTCTTCCTTCTGGCCTGTCCTCCGCTTGGTGTGTGAGATCAGGTGGGTGTTGGGGTCTAGCAGCTGCCTGCTAGACTCAGGGGTCTGTGAGGAAAGCCTGCCTCATCTTTCCTAAGGAAGGAACCCACATCCCGGGGGCAGGGCATGCTGGCGGGGTTGGCCCTGGTGCTCTGAGTAGTGATGCAGGGGGCTT